TGGCTACAATGAGCCCAACACCAAGATCCTAACTCAAAATCAACTTTAAGGCTCCAAAACTCGTGCATGGAAGCTTATGAAGACCCAAGATTGAATTTTTATGATTCTAGACTCACTATTATATTTGAAAGGACAATCCAAACCTCTGGAGCATTCCAAACTCACAAAGATCAATTCTTTAGGACCAAAAAGAACATAAACTAGCCCTAAATCAATATATAATAAAGGAGGCATCAAGATCTGAACTTTATACCTCAAAATGATTCTGCAAGATGTCAAGATCCATAAGCTAGAGAGCAACCACAATACTCCAAAGATCTTCCTTCTCTTATCAAGAACACTAAATGATACCAAGAAGATGAACCAAGTCTTCAAACTCTCGTACACACTTAGGGTTTTCAAAATGAGGATGGAGGCTGGAGTAGTGAAGGGGTTTGAGGACATAATGTTCTTTAAATAGGGTGCAAACCCTAAAAATTAGGGTTTGGTGTCTGCATGAAAACTCCTGGCGTCTATCATAGAACTTTTGACATTTAAACACCTAGCGTCCTATTTCAAACGCCTGACGTTTGGACCAAAGTGCCAAAAATTATCACAACAAGGTTAAAAGGGTAAATACCTGGAAACCATGATGTTACAACCATTTTAACAAAACCACCAAGGATACATTTACATGAACTAGAAATATTATAAATAACACATAAATGTTTAAAAGACAACCTATGGAGCATTTGATCTCACTTGACAATTGGGGAGTTGAAGTAGATGACAAATAGATCAAAGTAGAACTCTTCTATAATGTATCCACCAACAAAATTAAGACCCAGTGAATGCTCGTTTAACCTTGTATCAAGAACCTCTTAAGCCCTTAAGCACAAAACAATTTTTTTCTTAAAGGAGTGACATTCTTATGACTTCACACACTAGCTTCAAAAGTAAGAGAGAAAAGATCGTGTATGTTCTTGTGATTTTTGGACAAAAAGAAAGAGACCAAAAGCTAGTGAAAATGAAAGCGTCACTTCTTTAAATACTATCATACACATGCTTTAAGACCCATACTTCCATCACATGCAAGTATGGTCATTGTAAGAGTGTGCGCCTAGTATTTTAACCAAGTTAACAAGCTGTGGACAATCCTTTATGTATTTCCATGGTTTTAGAATAGAAAATGGAATGTTTAACACTCCAAGCCAATGTGTATCTTTTATATAAACGTAACTTTTATAAAATATAAAACATACACTATTCCTTTTATATAATTTGATACCTTATCTATTATGCATAACTTTTATATAAATATAACAAATATACTCTTCCATTTTATATAAAATTGATACTTTATCAATTATATGTAAACCTTTTATTTGATCTTACCTTTAAGCTTAAGTAATATATACACGTACACTTTATAAATACATTTATCTTGTAAATGATATAAGTGTTATAAATTAATTAATTCAGACCATATGAATTAAATAAAAATTTGGAAATTATCATTTTCATAAAATATTAATTTCCATTTAATTACAAGAGTTATTAAATCTTTACTAAGAATAAAATTCTTATAAACATTTATATTTGTGTCAAATTGTTATCATTGTGACCCTATAGGATCATATGTTATTTACAATATAATTCTAAAATGATTATTGAGTATATATAGATCCAACACTTTATCCTCTCCATTTTTCTTCCTTTCTGCTTAGCAACATATAAATCTAAAAAATATCAATTCCAAACATCATAAGCACATTTTATGTTCATTTGTATCGATACATAGCTCAAAACGTTAAAATATTAGGTGAAATATATATATATATATATATATATATATATATATATATATATATATATATATATATATATATATATATATATATATAAGGTTAGGTTATTTTGTTCTAACTATCTGTTGTGTAGATGTAGGATTGATAGTGGACCAATTATTTTAGTTATTTTAAGAAAGTAATTAATAAATATTATTGCATTAAAGATAATTGAAAATACCATCTAAGTTCTTTATAAGGGTAGTTTTGTCAATTAAGATAAATTTACAAAAGGAAACTCAGAAATTTTAGGAAATTATTAATTCTCTTAACTTTAAGAATCTATTTTTTTATGGATAATAATTATATGAATTTGAACATTCTAAAAGAATGTGTTTATGAGTATCTTGAAAAAAATATTATATTATGACAGAATACTATAAACATATATTATCAAGATTAATAATTTTTAATGAATACATATTTTATATTCAACGAATTTAGTTATTTTAGAATCAGTAATTATATTCATTATTAAAGAATACAACTATAAACATAAATTACATTCATTTTGAAAGAATACGATCAATAATAATTAATAATTATATTTATTCTTAAAGAATAAAATTGATAATGGTTAAAAATCAAATAAAAACATTGAAATTTAAGTAAAACACTAATCCATTATGAGAGAGTATTGTTGCTAATCCATTCTGACAAAATATATTGCTAATCCATTCTGAAAGAATATTTTTTCTACTTCTCACATGTTGACACTATGTATCCCCATTTACCTTAACAGTAAAACTGATAGGATATGATTCTTCAACACCTTTTACAATTAAAACCATCCTTTCTCAGTTGTTTTTCAATCCTTCTACTTTTTCTGTTGATCAAACCCGCCCTTTCTTTTACATGTATGTACAATACATTCTTAAAGAATGCATTCTTGAAGAATACATTCTTAAAGAATAACAATATAATGGAAGAAATTGATGATCCGTTGCAATCTGTAGATGCGACTCCAGTCTTCTTGGACAACCTGATGCAATATGAAATGTTATTTTAGCTTCAATGAAAATAATGATTTCACACATCGCACCTCATTGCATAACTCTACAATATGATCAGGATCTTTACCATCAAGAGCAACTATCTTGTAATTTAAACAAAGCTTAAACTTGGTTGTAAGGGGTGCTCATATCCATGGTTATTGGGTTCTTATTAGTTATACAACATTTAACAACTAAGTTATCATTTTTAACAATGTCAAGGCTTGGATACAACTCAAACTGCTTCACATGTAATGGGGACACCTCTTTATCCATGGAATTACCATTATTTCCTTTGAATTCTTCAACAACCTATTCAGGAATATCTTTATTATGATATGACATATCATAGCAGAAACGTGAAGGGAAGAGAAAAGTATCATTGGTTGTATTTATCTGTAAGTCGTGACCATGACCTGAAAACGAGATAAAGTGGGCGAAACTTGACTGCCATTGATTTCTTGTGGAATAAAAATAAATAGATAAATAACCCGATAAATTTAAAGGAGGAGAAGATACGAATCAGAAAGTTTGACAAATCAGTTTTGCTGGAGACGTCGGTGGTTCTCACCCAAGTTGATAATCCTAATTGCAATCTATTTGAGGCGGAAAAAGAAAGTAGTAGGTAAGCGGAGATCGATGATTAAAGTGGATATTTATGGATACGATATCAGAATTCAAGAATTTCAATGCACCGCGGTCTGTTTAGATGGCATAGAAGGCAATAGATGCCAAAGCCAGGGAATATGATGGCGATTTTGGTATTGATAGAGATGCATGATTCTCATTAGCAGCCAATCTTCATAATCGTTTGAACTTAGAATCTTTAGAATCTGATGGTGATTTTAGGGTTTGAAAACCCTCAATTAAAAACCAGATCTCACGTAGTTTAGGGGTTATTGTGGTTGTGGTGGTCGTGGTGTCCGATGACTGTTGTGGTTTTGGGTTAAGTTGAGAAGACGAAACGGATCGGTGATTGTAAGGTTATAGGTAAGATTACCATTTTATCCTTATTTAGGTTTTTGAAATGATTGGCCTATATTGATTCCTACATCCACACAATAGATAATTACAACAAATGAACCTACCTCTATATGTATGTGTGTGAGTGTGTATATATATATATATATATATATATATATATATATATATATATATATATATATATAGACACACACACACACATACACATACAAATAACAATAACATAAAGTTCATCCCTATGCATTAAGCTTAACTATCACACAAACGAATATTTCATACAGATAAAAATGTCACACAAACAAATGTCACATATAAAAAATATGATTAAATCCTAATAAGTGCCTACATGTGTGTGTGTGTGTATATATATATATATATATATATATATATATATATATATATATATATATATATATATAGAGAGAGAGAGAGAGAGAGAGAGAGAGAGAGAGAAAGAGAGAGTTAGGTTCAAATGTGGATAGACATCCTTTGTGCGGACTTGTAGACATTGCTATTCTGTGAGATTGACAAAGAAAATATGTTGTTTGATAATGTGAATATGCTCAATCTGGCATAACTATTGTCATTATCATGTATTCTCACTAATTAAATCGTCTATAAGGTTATTATAGACTATTTTTTTATTATTCTTATTCTGTCATAATGTTGTCAGAATGTTTATTGAGTCGTGTTCTGTAAGAATAAAAATGAGTGAAAAACGAAATGTGAAAACAAAAATGAATAAGAATTAGCGAAATACATGAAAATGACAATAGTTGTGTGATGTTTAACGTATTCACATCGGTAAATAACTTTTTCTTTTAGTAATTCTTATAAAATAACATTGTCCACACGTCCACACAATATTATGTTAATAATCGACACTATTAATTTCTTTAGGTTAAAAAGTAAATTCTTCACGTTTCAGGCGCGAAACAGTGGTAGCATGATGACCAGACCCAACCAATCTTAAAAAAAGGCGTCGTTATCCAAACACTTCACGGGTCCCACAATGATCTACGAATGTTCAAATAATGTGTTTGAAATACAAAAAAGGAAAAAGCCAAACAAGATTAAAAAAGAAAAACAAGGAAATCCCATTACAAAATCCTCCAAAGTTTCATTTACACAAAGCTAAATTTAAACATCTTCAGGCTTTCTTTAAAAAAAAAAAAAAAAACAAGGAAACTTTAATTTGCTATAAACACCCCGCTGGAAGTTGTCGACCATATGATTTCCCTTTAACGTTCAAGCAAGATGAAGACACAGGACCCTCTGGCCCACGATATTCCAAGTTAATATTCACGAGGTTGACACCTTCACATGGCACGTGTTTGCTACATTGTATTTTAACTGCAATCTTAGAACTCGATGTACCATGCACTTTTCTAAATGTCACATTCCTTATTTGAACATTCGATTGCGCCTACAAAACAAACATCACAAACCCCGTCAGATAGACAGCCAACTGTCTGCTAGGTAGCTTACATAACAGTTCAATAATATTGTATAGTAACAGTAATAATAACATTTACCTGGCCGTTGCAAGGAGGCTGGGGACAATATTGTTGGTCGATGAAAATAGGGTTATTGACATTTTCCATGATGATGTCTTCAAAAGTAAAATCAGAAGCGAGGCTAGGAGGAGAGGGTGCCCATGTTTTGATTCTTAATCCATTTTGAGTACCTCTTAAAGTGGAATTTTGTATATATATACCATTTACGTGTTCTTCATTGTGGGACCCACCTAGGCTACCGATGCTAAACCCATGTCCGGGCCCACAATGAACCTCTGAAACCATGATGTCTTTGCTACCTGCAATCATTGATATGCAATCATCACCGGTGCTTATGAGACTCTTTGTGATCTTGATTTTGCTTGAGCTCCCGATGTGGATTCCATCGGTGTTTGGGCTGGTGGCTGGAGCAAGGATCCGAATATGGCTCATGTTCATGTTGTGGCATGCGAATAGATTGAAATGAGCGTTTTTGCTGTCGATTGAGTGGATGTAGTTTACTTTTGAGTTAGACACAAAATCAAATCGCATCGTCTGTTACAAGTTAAAGAAAAAAAACATATCAGAATGAAATTGATATGAACGTGACTTTAGTTACAATTGTATGACGTTCAACTTTCTTCATGACCATGAACTTTAACATCCGTTACAAACTATTTTTAATGGTCAAATGAATCGAGCTTAGAAATTAATATCACTACTCTTTTCGGATTCCAGATTTGCAACATGATTACAGTTTTAATCAGGAAAAAATGGATGGACTTACGACGGGAAGTGGTTTGCAACGGGAATTGGTGGCGCAGTCATTGAACCGCCATGCTGAACGGCCGTTACCAAGCAAATAACCGCCGCCTCGGACCACCAACTGATCGACATACTTGAAAGCGATCCAGTGATCAACGAAAAACTTAGATGGATCAGTTGAAGCTTCAAGCAATCCCCTGATAATAAAATCTACAGGTCCCTTACAAGGTCCGACGAACACGACGGAATCAAGCTTGTACTCACCTCTCGGGATCCAAACCCTACCTCCGCCGTCTTGCTCACAAGCATCCTTCCATGCGCGAAGAAATGCCTAACGAAAACAGATCGGAGAATTTCACAGGTGTAAATCAAGTGGAAATCTGAAGAACTTGATAAGGATTATATTGAAATGATGATGAAGTGAGGAATCGGAATCAAGAATGTATATACCATGCTGTTATCGGTGATTCGATCGGGACGTGCACCATAAGACATGACATTGAAGGTTTTCGGAATGTGAGGTCTCCGGGCATCGGCGAGAATCAACAAGAACGGAAGCCAATGGATGAAGGAGACCATTATTGTTGTTTGTTGTGCATTGATTGTTTTCCTGATTTCTTAAGCACTTATATAGTAAAGGCGTAAAGCTCCAAATCTGACGTACTTAAATTCCGTAAATTTAGTGTCTCCTTATCTTTTACTTGATTTACTCGATATTATATTTATATTTAATATATGTTAGAATTATTAAAAAAGACCCGAAAATAAGTGAATCGTTTGGTCAGCATTTATAACTTATTTATTAATTATTAATATATTTGAAAATATAAGTATTAGGCTATTAGCTTAGAAGAAAATGGCCAGAATAGTTGTTTTTTAAAAGTTTTTCACAATATAACTATAAAAAATGAAAATTGAGCAAAATGGTCATCATTTTCCCTTGTGATTATATGCGAAACTGTATGTCATCTATGAATTTTTTTATATATAAAAATTCGTTGTTTTGGATGTTTGACTACGAAAATCTAATAATTCAAATCGGAAAAAAAAAAAAAAATCATACAAATCAAATAGTTTCCTAAAAGAAAATTTTTAAGTTCTAATTTTTTTTTTTTTTTGAAATATATATATTAGAAAGAACTAGCTAGGAGCGGGGACAGTTAGAGGAAATAGACTACATATACATAAGGACAAAGAGAAAATAAATATGAATTTAAAAGCAACACCAAAACACCTGGTGTGTAATATCTAAATGTCTGAAAGAGGTACCTAGTGTCCAATGAAGAGAATATCTAGGAGAAAGACAGCATCAACATCCAACATTGAATACCGGCCTTTATTTTAAGGCCAATTACTCATACCATTTGATGACCGACATGAAATGGTGTATCGCTGGGGCTCACGAAAAGACAACAGCCACAGAATTTGAGGAAGAAGCGAGTGAAGGAATCAATTTTGGAATTGCCTTAATATACTCAAGAGTTTAAGGCTTCCTTGAGACCAAATTTTGTGGAGCAGACAATCCATGACCAGTAACACCGACAAATGGCTTTACGGCTATCCCATCACCCAATAAGGGCATTTTTTGAACTGGAACTACTCTCCAATATCTACATATCCATGATCTGAGGTCGCAACTGATATCATCATCTCTTTATGCATCAAGCCTGGTAGACAGCTTCAATGATACCGCCACCCCATTGCTAGGGGTAATTTTAACAATATTTCCAACAGCAACACCTTCACCTTCTGATTCGAGTGGGCTAAATGAACTGTGTTTTCCTGCATTTGGGAGAATATTCCAATACAAGAGAATGAAAAGAAAATCAAAGAAACACTTACACACACCAAAGCTTATCCCCCCCCCCACCACCACCCAATACACACACGAAAGAATCAATTAAACACACGAAAGAACATCCGGCGCAGCGTATATCCTATTTGATGCCTACCCTATGAATTGAAACACACGCCGAACACACACTAGTTGCGCCAAGATATGTCACCAAGAGACACCAAAGTATAACCCTTGCCCCCACCCACCCACCCACCCCCCAGTCAATGCGACACCAACATCAATCGTACAACTAATTAAAGTTGAAACAATATAAACACCCTGATTGGAACACCGCAACCACATCAGAATACAACAAGATTTTTTTTTATTTTGGCAACAAACCAGGGCCACATCCCAAGAGTATATCACTTACAATCAGCGTATTGTATTGATTGGATCGAAACACCAGTCCTTCCATCCAATTGACCTGTTTTTTAACCTTGCGCTTATCCATAAGTGTGATATCGTTTGGATATCATTTGCCAGACCATTGTGAGATTTTATTTTTTCTGAATGGGCCTTCGAATTCCTGTAACTCCAAATGACCCATATGTAGACTAGCATTATAGCTGACTGGAGCTGAAGAGTGATGTTTGATGTGCCATTTCCCCAAAACAACACGTCTGTCACTGATGTCAGGGAGTCTGGGAGCGTGCGCCACCAGGTTTTGAGCCTATTCCAGACATCACAAGAGATTATGCAATTGGGGATCTAATTAATATAGTTTCGTATATTTTTTGCCAAAGCCAAATAAAAGAGATGTATAGTGCTAGAACCTTATTATATAAATGGTACGTTTTTATGGAATATATATTTACTAATCTTTTCACTATTTATATAAACATAAATCATATACTTATGATGAGGATATTTGTAGAAAATACTCCTAAATCTTTTATTTGTTTTAAATTTAGTATTCCATACTAATTTAGTATTCCATACTAATACTCCATAGTGACGCAACATGGCCTAGTGGCGCAACATGTTGCTCCATTCCACTCCCAAGTGCTCCAAATATTCCAAAATGCTCCAAATGCTCAAGCACAGTTAACATTATCCTTAAAACATAAACGCACACATACAATGACTTTATTTCCTAAAATATAAACTCACACATACAAGGACTTTACTGCCTCAAAACATAAACTCACATAAATAGTCTATGCCTACGAAGACTCTATACCCATTGTCGTTAAGTTACCAAATCTTGTCAGACCACGAGAGAACAAATCATCGTGAGACCATTGTTAAACCAAGCAAGTTACAATTGTTATCTACGAGAACTACCATCCTAACAGTTGTTACCACGTCCCCTCGGGGGACCTGTCTGGATCTCATCGCGGAAACTTTGAATGCATTCACATTACAATATAACGAAAATTCATCATGAGTAACTAAATCCACTTTAATGACGCATACAAAATAACTAGCAATGTCTTTTTATAATCATTTAAAAACATGAAATGCTAATATTTTAAAACATATTATTACCAATATTTCCCTTTTATCAACTCAATAAACTTGGGGACTCAAAGACACACATCAAAACATTTTCACATAAAATTGTAACGACCCAAAAATCCAAGGTAAAAATTTCATTTTTAATATAGGAGAAACACTTAATAACTTTGTTCCAGACACTAAAAACATTTCAATTAAAAGTAATATCAGAGTCTGATCCCAAAGATCACATATTGCGGGAAGATATGGGTATATGCGCTGCGATCGTCCCGAGCTCCTATATTTGAAAATTGGAGGTACCTGAAACCAAAACTGTAAACCGTAAACACGAAACTTAGTGACTTCCCCAAATACCACATATCATACATATCAATTATATCCGTACATGCCATACATAACCGTGAGCCATACGTATCAATCATATATCATAATCAAATAAGATGCTATGTGCCGCACATAGTCTTGCCCTTATGCCACGAGCCACCTCGTGGTCTTTCTTGCCAGGTCGGGGGCCACAACCCTAGGTCTTATAGACAAGTGTCAGGAACCACCTCCGGGTCTTCCATGCAAGTATCACAAAGACAACTAGCATACAATCTACTTTACATAGCTAAATAGCATACAGTGTACCAGGAGTCGCCTCCTGGTCTTTCATACATAATGCCAAGGGCTAACCCTCGGGTCTTCCAACCATACATAAACCAAATGGGCCGATGTTGGTGCCTTCGACCCACACAAAAAGTGAGGAGACTCACCTAAAATGTCGGATGATAGCTGAAACGTCTCTGCTCCGGAATCAGCTCTATTCAATCCCTAAACCAAAACAATCCCTTAGATACCATATCATGCTAGCTACTTGTTGGGATTACAACCCTAATAACGATTTGATGAATAAGATGCAGAAAACAAGAACAAACACAATTATGAAGATATGTCGAATGATCAATGAATTTATTCATGAACATGAGGAATAAATTCACTTTCATAATAGACTAAAGAATCTAACTCTACATAAGAAACCTCATAATGTTTGACGGCTACATTTTGCCTCACTCTTAACCCTAATTATGAATAATACATGACTATTTATAGGGAATAAGACAAGTCTTGGGCTTTTAACCTACACTTCATCAATGGGGCCCATTGACATAATCCATGGAGTACTTTGAACCCTACATTCTCCCCCTCAAAGTATGAAATGGATGATAAGGCTTCAACTTCCAAAACAAGCATCTAGCAAATAAGAAAAGATCTTGCGACGAGGAATATCAAAAGCGATCCACGAATCTTGATTCTTCAATAGTCTTCAAAAACGGGTTCTAGGATATATAAACCAAGCACTGAAGTAATGTTTTTAAACTTCATTTTCTAATGTAATCCCAAAGATCTTCAAGAAATCCAAACCGCCATAAAAACCCATTTCAGAATTAAGAAACAAAATCACTTATTGTCTTTGAAGATGTAACACCCGTTTATTTAATAGTTAAATAAATAAATTAGTAAACGAATGGTAGCCTAAAATAGATAATTATATATGCAGGGTGTCGGGTTCGAGGAGTTAATTGACACATTTTTAGAAGTCGGGGGTTAATAGTGTGTGTTCGGGACTCATTTTTATAAATATTTATGAAGACAGGGGCTCCGTGGTAATTATCGGGAATTATTTTAAAAAGAAATGAGGTGGAAGGGCTGAATATGTTATCATTAAGAATTTGGGGGACTGTTTGGTAAATTGTGTACCTAAGTTGTATGGGATTTTAATGGTGAGGGTTCAAAGGGTAATTATTGGATTATTTTGAAGGAAATGGGGAGAGGAAGGGCTACTTTTGTCATTATGGCAAACATTTGAAGAGAACCGGGTATAAAGGGTTAAGTACACCCTAACCCTAAGCCCTTATGTTGCAGCTGTCACTCACCTCCCCCTTATGCCTCCCAACCTCCGGCGCTACCTCCTCATTCTCCCCAGCCGCCGCCCGATGTCTCTCTCGCTTTCCGACCAGATGGAGTCCCGAACGACGCCGCCTGCTGCCTCACCATCGAGATGCCATCATGGGTTGGCTGCCAGCGAAGACACGTCTCGCTATTGTGTCATTGCCGCCTCCTCGCCACCACCGAAGAATCGCCGGAGCAGCCATCGTCCTGGTTCTGTCGCCGGCGGAGACGAAGGATCACGAGGTGATCATAAATCGTTGTTCGTGGGTGTTGTGATGTTCGTAGTTAGGTCACACACATCCTCTTCTCATTCTTCTGTTGCTCCGTTACACCCCGAGTCCGCCACCAT